GAGACCAAAATGCCATTCCCTACAAACAGTCAACACTCGGGATAGTATCGGAAATGATGCGAGCCAATGAGCTGTCACCGTTGTTTTCGGACATTAAATAAGCCAAACAATGCCAAATATTTCGACATTGGGAGTAGTATTTTGCATCATAATTTTCCTGACTCCGCGTCATTCATTACAATAGAAAAATAAATTAACACGAGCAAAAAGAATAGGTAAGTCTAATGATAGTAGTTGTAGTTCGGTTACTAAGGTCTTTTACAAACGTTATTAACTAACTTGTACAGACGTAAATTAGAAGGATATATTAGGGCAATATTACTTCATAGGACCAATTCTATACTAAAAACTACGAACGATGCTCACTGTAAAACAGTCGAACTACTGCTGCTTTAGAGGCATTGAAGATAATTTTACGAATAAAGTGCTTTAATTCATAGTGCCTTCTATCTTTTCTCCTAAATTCGTCTGTAAATATATAGTCTTTCAGCGTCTTAAGTTGCCTAAATCGTTATCAGTAACTTACGTAATCGATAAATACTTCTACGAAATACCATAAGAAATTTTAATTTAGTTTTAATTGCTTGATTAAAAATCAATTGCTATGTAGATCCGTTAACAATTACGATCCTACATAGTAAACACAATGTAGAAACTTTCGTGAGGTTTGATGCATATTTAAAGTCAATGTCACGTCAAATACATAGTAGAATGAGTAACATTTTGACAAATGATTATTATTTCTATATTATTGTAAATTAGAGTCACATTTACATTGAACTATGTATCAAACAACGGGTCCTCTCATCAGGCTCTGACACTACTCAAATATAATTCAGATCTGCGAATACAGCTTGGTTGGGTAGTTTTCGGCAAATTAGATCTTGTGTTACGATATGCGAGCTAGATGGCATTCGCTGCAGGAGGCTCACGTTCAGCATTATGGTTGTAGCAGACATATTAACTAGGAAAGAGATAATGTAATCGCCTCATTACGATTCTGATTAATGTGCGGTGCAGTAGGGTGTTTCATACAAAGAATACTGAACAACTCGAGTTGATACGGTGACCATCCCAGTACAGTTGATATGTCTGCTACGACCTTTAGATGACTATGGGTTGAAGAAGAAGAAGAATATTATCAGAAAGAGTTTAGTATGATCTTCCAATTAATTCATATTTGTGTTGACATCGCCTCTAACTGCGAGCGTGATACATCGGCTTTAAATAATGAAATTCTGGTGAGTAAGTAAGGTTTGCAGGACCCCAACATACGAGTACCTATACTCTGGTATCGCAAGCGTCTGCAGCACAGAACTAGATTTAAGTAGATGTAGCATGTGCTCCAATTCCAACATGTAGGAAAACCGAGCGTATCGTATTTTGAGATCAGATTAGATGGCGGAAAAGCACGGATTCCGGCCGCCCGTTTCAATTATATCATTTTAGAATTAGAACGGTGGCCGAAGAAAGAAAGAAGCGATAAAGAAGAGCCTTTGGTTACCCTTTCAACATGTTCGCACGCCAAGTACATACAGTTATGGCATTTATTCCGATCTATATCTGTCTATGGTAGCTAGGCACCTACCATAGCCTAGATACATAGAGGCGAGCCTGTGCTTATTGAAGACCTTTTTACACCAAATAACTGATAGAAAAGCTTATCAATGAATACGGACAGTTCAGAAGATTTTGTAGGCGACTGAAGGGCTATCCTATTGATGTAAGAGAACAACAAAGACCTAATCAATGTGGAATGTTGTGTCAGGTAGGTTCGCATAAGGTGATAAGACATATAAAATGATTAAAAGCACTTTTGAACCGGTCTTACATTTTTTGTACCTCATATTTATTATGTGTACCGTTACATATTCGCTGTGGCATGAAATTAATTATGTACGTGTACCTTTTACTGTGAAAACATACAAGGGAAATATGTACAGTAAGAAGCAATACATGTATATGTATATGTTTATTATTATATTTATAAAGAAATCTTACTTTATTAACTCTGTTAACTTTTATCAAATCGAACACACACACGAGTAGTTACGTCCAATCATACATTGATTTGTTTGTGTAGTAATAAGCAAGAGCTCTTATACAGAAAACGTTGATAGATATCCAATGTCAACAGCTTAGAGTCTCTAATGATCATAGTCCAGTTTTTGTACTAAGAATATGCCGTTTCGTCTATGTATGTTTCTAACGATGCTGCCCACACTCCGCTTGGAAACTTGCCTGTTTACTGACTGATACCTACATGGTAATGTACCCATGGTTTGCTAAAAAAGCACTGATATCACCGTATAGTTATGTGCTTAGCGAATCCACCATCAATCCCGTTTATGGGAAGGACTCGACTTTCATTCTTGTATACCACAGAATGAATTAGGCCTCATAGTTAATACGTACCTTAGTATTCTGTCATATTCTATTAACTGAGAAATACAGGCTTTGGGTTTTTATTAAGCTTCTTTTAAATTGAACCCGAAAAAGCAGGATGTAAAGTCAGCAATTGATAAACCACATAAGAATATGAGATGGCATGGAGTAAGTCAAAAAAAGGTAATTTTAAATGTTGACTAAATTTAATTTGTCTTTTTTTCTATTTATTTGGGTAAACAAACAGTTACAAAGTAAGTACATAACAAATTCAGTATTGGTGATTAGATAGATAACTTTGAAACCAGCACCGTTTACCACTTATATATAAAAAAACATATTAAAGCAGCGTTGAGTGTAGTGATATTCTAAGTATCATTAACAAATGTTCATAAACAAAGAATCAAATTAAGAATCAAGTTAAGTCATTGTCAAAATACTGAAGCAATGTATCGTAAAATTAGTAAATATAGAATCCTATTTCGAAATATAGTAGTAACAACGCAGACAATAGACTAATTCTAATTGATAACAAAGTCAATATGTAATATCGATATTTTCAGTCAACACGCCACAGGTACCTGTTGTAAAATTCGTTATAGCTGACACAGAGATATCAATTACAGTCACGTGATGTCTTACGATTTTGTCATTGCAATAATTTGACAGTACCAACTTTAATGAAACTTAAAAATAATTTCGTCTCGGAATGCGTACGTTTGTTCTGAAACCCACTATTTTTTAGCTGTTTTAGACAATGAACTATGTGCTTTTACAGACTGAACATATCCTAGTAATCAAGGCTACATCTTATATTATTAAAAATTATAACAGAACAATTAGAAATAGAACTATGTATATACTAAAATTTACTGTGGCAATAAATTTTAAGAAAACGGAATTGAAATTCGGAAATCAAGAATCGTTACATAGGGCCTAAAAACTGTACTATAATTTAATAGTAATTTAGTGTATCTAGGTTTCGTTTATGGAGTCCAACTGTTCGAGGATGTTTATTTTTTTATGTATAAATTATTATTAAACATTGTATTGCTGCAAGTTAGCTTTAACTAAGCTAACAATTTTGTACTAATTTACTCTGATAAAAAGCAGCCAAGTGCGTGTTGTGCCACGCGCAATGTAGGGTTCCGTAGTTGTATGTCGTTACCACGTTATATTTGAGCAAGAGTTTTTATATTCTGTATCGGAAATTAAATAAAAACAATTAATATCAAACTATGTATCTCAACTAAAATACCTAATGTAAAGCCAAATTGCGTCTCAAAATCAATTCGATATTCTTTTTTTTAAATACGAAAGATAACCGCCGATCTTTTCATGTGCTTTTATACTCTTTATAAAAACGTACCGATATCACGGTTCACACTGAGGGTTCAAAGGCCGTTGCCGTTAATACTCGCAGTAGCTTTGTGGAACTAATGATATTTTATTGAGGCTTTTAAATAGGTTTTTTAGATTTTGTTTTTAATGAAATCTTTTACGCTACAATAACTTCATCTATGTCACTACGAATGTTTTCTTCTAAGGAATTTTCAATAGGTATGATTTTTTTTCTTTAAACAAAGTTAAACGACTATAACTATTAAACTAACAAATCTATCGTAACCGTTGTAATTTTCCTCAAAAGATTATAAAAAGAACTATTATAGAAAATTTATCCAGGTTTTTCAAGCCAATAGTTTAGCTTTTAGAGGGAGAGGGTCGCCCTGCTCGAACAAAAATTATCACTTTAAAGTGCATCCCTAAATCGAAAATAAGTCTTAGGAATCCCTAAATAATTTTAAAGGAGCTATTCAACGATATCCCACAGGACAGGGTAACCGATGAAAAAAAAAACCCAGGTTACATGTAGGGGAGCTACCCTAAAAAAATATTTTTCTAAATGTTATTCTACCATTTTGTCGGCGTGAATAAAATACATATCTCCACAAAATTACAGCTCTCTAGTTCTAACACTCTCCAAGCATGACGAAACGAGGACATGACGAAATAATAAAGGTTCCTGGTCAAGACTACGGAACCCAAAAAATGCAGCAAATTCTTTCAGTTTTTATTTGTAACCCTTATGAAGATCATAAAAAGTATAAATCTTGATTATTTATTTGCTGATCTAAAGAAAAATCCTCAATAAATTACTGTAGTACCTGTTTGTTTATAATGATAAGCATTAATGAATTGCTTTAATGGAATGCGTGTACTGTTGTGGTGTTATGAAACACCTGTTCGTCAAACATGGGAGATAAAATAACTAGATATCTACTGCGCACCATATGAATAAACATCAAGGTGAAACTTTATGTGTGAAGTACAAATATGAACGCAACGATTGCTTCATACAATAATATCGTGCTTGCGAAAAATATAATATTTTTTACATTTTTTTAAAGGAACTTCTTCGTTTCACGAACTAGTTCAAATGAAAAAAAGTCTGATTATTTTCAATGAATAGGACAAAGGAATACCGATTATTACTAAACTTTATCATAATCTACACTAAAAAAAAGCGATAACACCTGATATCAGGATATGACTTGCTTACTATACTGATATCTCAAATATTTTACATGATAACTGGAAAAATGAAACGTCCTCACCTGCGATATTTTTCCTTTTTAGATTCCACTGGCAATAATGTTGGCGCCACAGACCTAGTAACACACCACTCATTCACTGCACTAACAGTCAAGAACTCAGTGTCAGGAGCATGGCACACTTCTGAACCGAATTCGTCTGATGAAACGGTGATGCTATCATATTTTTGATACGGCACCATGTCTAACGACGAAATAGACTTAATACTAACATTGTCATAATTACTTTGGGCACCAGATTCACCTGATGCAACAGATAAATCGTCCCTCTCACTATTTTCTTCTTCATTTATTAAAGTGTCCGTGGAATGATCCCCTGAAAGCGTATCCGTTCTACCATCGTCTTCATTGTTAAGTATATATTCTTTACCTCTATCACTACTTTCTGAACTACTACTGCTCGTAATACTCCCGTTTCCTGATCTAGCACTAATACTTTTACTCTCGTCTTCACAATCTGATACTTCTGATCTTTTAAGTCTAAGCAATTTTTCTAAATCGCTTTGTCTTACACCATAAGACCAGTGTGCTTCACCAGAATTCAAATTGCTGGCATTAGACTTTTTTCTTATTACTGGTGGTTTTCGAGTGCGCCTGTTGCTTTTGGGGGAAGTGTTTGGTGTAGTAAAAGAGTATCGTCTTTCAACGTGACCGACATCTTGCGGCACAGGCGATTTGCTTTCTGAAGAGGAGCAACTATCATTAAAAGGTTCAGGGGGTGGTGGTGCTTGTCTATGCGGTACGAGGCTTTCTCGACCTGACTTTCTATCGGAAATGAAACCGGAAGAGCTGGATTCAAAACTGTTCACTGACACATTAGATAGTACAGAATTAACTGATATATTAGAGTTCCTATCTTGAGATCTCGTCACTGGGCATAGGTGTTGAAAATGCATTTGGAGTGGGTTCACAACACTAGACAAACTTCCGTGCAGCGAATCCTTAGACCTTTCTAGGGATTCGGTAGACGAATGGTGGCTGTTTGATGAAGTCTGCTCAAAACGAAGGATCATGTCCCTGACGGTTCGCTTCTTCTGTCTTCTAATAACAACATCGTCATCATCGATATTATCTGAAGAAGAGATATGAAGGTCTTCATCCAGACGAGTGTATATTTCTTCCTGAGTCATGATGGTTCGTTAACACTATCACTAAACATAAGAAACTCTCTCCAAGCGTTATAAATGGTAACATGTCAGGGCGCACAGCGAGTGCGCATAGCTGACGCGCGCGCTCTGTGATAACTAAACACGACTGACAGCGAGCGCACGCGGCGATGACGAGGCCAAAGCCCACGCTTTGTTACACCGTGCGAGACGTAAGCGTAACGACATCGTAGCGTGATTTTAAATCATGTAATGGTTAATGTACGTATTTGTTTTTTAAGGAGAAATTGGCATTTGTGTGTGTTGGTGTGTACGGAGGAAATAATTACTTATATTTATTGATTTACTTGGTTTGTTCACGTAATATTTTTAATACAACTTATTATAACGTACATAATTTAAGAAAAGTCACTCCTGACTTAAAAAAAAGTTGACAGAGGTAATTGATTACACATGCTATGTTGCCCAGACAGACCTGTTTCGTTTCCTTTGTGTACAGTAAGTTTGCAACATGAAATGTCTCCAATTTTATCGGCGAAAGACCTGCGCATATGTCATCTGCTCCATTCATTTCTTTCGTCATTTCCACTCAAACAAAATTATTTTAAGTTGAATCTGATCTCATCCAGAAAAAAAGCCATTTTTGTACAGAACAACCTCCAACTTCTTAGAAAACTAAGAAGACCAGGCTTAGTAATCTATTTATTATTATGATTCACCATAGTCTAGAACTAGCTAATACACTCTAAAGGTACTAAACCTCCATTATTATTAGGTTATATGCTATTGATTTACTTTTTTGCTATATTATTGTATTGAACATATTAAATAAGGATTGAAAAGTAAATCGTACTTTTATTACATTTCAGATAAAAGTTAGAGTGATAACAAAATAACCATTTCAAGGCCAAAAATCTTCCTTCTTTCCATATTATGGAATTTTCATAAGACATTACCTAAAATATTATTTTAGTAGGTACCGTCAGATATTTAATTCCACACTGATCACGTTGTGTATAAATGTAATCATTATTTTAAATTACCTGGAATTTTGAATATTATTTGGACTTAAGATAAGCTTTGCGAAAAATATCTTGTGCTTAGATATTTCAAACAATATAACTTGTTTTATAAGATTGTATTGATATTTCTATTTCGCTACTTAGTGGATGAGCTTAAAAGAGTTTAATTTCAATTCAATGGCTGCTATAAATATCGTGCAATCGAGTATGCGCAAGCAGGTAATCCTTGGTTCCATTTTTTTATACAGGTAAATAGTTAACTCCGATCGGACATTACTTTTACCTTGAGCTAAAGATAATTGGTTATCTTTCATCGTGTTTCAGTTTCTGCAGATATGATACTGAACGTATTTAAATTTATTTGAATATAAGAAACAATGTATTATGTCATGACGATTGTTGTAAATTCTAACACGTTTCTTGGTATGAACTCTATACAAGCTATATTTTCGAAGTATTCAAAACGTGATCAAATACTCAAAAGTAATTGACACCGTTTTGAAAGTAGGTGTGACATTATATAAATATTTTTTTACGTCTACGAACGTTTTGATTAGGGTTAGAAAATTATTTAATTATAGCAAAGTAGCGGCCACCCGCGACTTTGTCCGCGATAACTTTAGCTTTTTTGAAAATCCCTCAGGAACCTTACACTTTTCGGGGATAAAAAGTATCCGATATCTCAATCCAGTTCAAAAACTATATGCGTACCAAATTTCATCTAAATCCGTTAAGTAGTTTTGCGTGATTGAGTAACAAACATACATACTTACACAATAATAATATTACTAGCTGTGCCCCTCGGTGTTACCCGGTTTATTGCGAATATTTTCCCTTAGTAAAACGTAGCCTGTGTTAATGCAGGTCAAATAACTCCATACCAAATTTTATTAAAATGTTAATACGCGAAGAAGTAACAAACACAGACACTTACAAACTTTCGCCTTTTTTAATATTATTGTAATATTGAAAGAGTTTCCTTGACAAAGTTTATAGCTGGCACTAAACTCACGGTTAGCCAGCAGAAATTATGAACATTTTCGATCCAGTGTAGCAGTAGAACTCGAGTACTCGGCATCCTTAGAAATTTAACGCTGGCATAGTTTTATTTTTATTTTAAGGGTTTTTGAAGTTCATACCAGTCCCATGATAATCTGACCCAAATAACTAATTATTACACATTTTTTCTACGATATTACCTAGCAGACCATCTTCATCAAAGTATTCACGTTGTAAGGCACTTGTCCCATTGCCGACGATGAACCAGATGGGAGTAGAGCTAGAAACTAGAAACAAGTTGGCGAGCAGCAGGAAGTTAGTGTGTAGTTCCGATAGTTTTGTCGCTCGACTATATTCGAGTGTGCGAATACAATGAGCCATTACTCGCGTCAATCGCTCGCGGTGACAGTTCTGAGCAAAAATGCGCGCGCACTCATTTTGTCAGCATCGCTGAGCGAGTATTATCCTTGACAGCTCTCGTCCCTCAGCGACAAACTAATGGTGTGAGTTCTCGCCGGCAGTGTGAACAGTCAGCGACAGAATGTGTACGTAGCGACAAAAATCTATACGTTTCTTGAGCAAGAAAATAGCCGATAGCTTCCTCGCCGTCGGTGGGACATCTGCTTAAGGCGCCTTTAACTGAATTCAGCTACAGTATCGCAGAAAATCGGCCATTATGCAACTTAATAAAGGTTTTTTTTCCTATATAAATGAAAGTGAGGCATATAACGCATCGTAGCGTAGCATCGTAATAAATATAATTGAATTTGAAATTGAATGTACAAAAGTCACCAAAACTCATATCAAAGTAAACTTTAATAAACAACAACAGTACAACACATTCAAATGATTAAGCTTTCTAATCAACTTCAAGTTTCCTGAATGAGCCTTCGACCCCGAAAAGTTCCGAGGTGGTTTTCGGCTTGCCCGGTCGCTTCGATTCATCAGTCTTCGCATTTTCTTCTTTCAAAAACCAATCACGGTAACTCTCCACCTTTGCCTTCCAATAATCTGAAAATTGAAGCATTTTGATTAAAAATATATTTCGAAAATATCTTAAGTTCGGTTCAACTATCACTTTGGTTTTTGTTTTATAAACCATAAATGCAGATCAATGCTAAATGTACTTTATATTGATATTTATAGAAACAGGAATATCTTTATCGTTGTATTAAATTCGTGTTGTGAACCTTTGATATTCTACCACCCAGCGAACTTTGTCACGTTGTCGTTACAACGACAATTTACAAACAATTACTAACAAAATGACTGTGTAATCACACAGTTAACAATATGAGAACTTAACTTGTTAATAATATAATATGTCTTCATCGTAAACATATGTCTATTTTATCCATGATAAACACCTAGCAGTTCATTCAACATGAATGGAAAACAAAAGTTAATGAAATATAAAATAAATAATTATTAATTATAATACATGAAAATATTTTATTAGCCTACCTGTCAACACACTAAGAGAGCCATCTTCACCTCCGTACTCAATGGGTAGCACGGATTTAGGAATATACTTGTACAATGCTTCATAGTTCTGGTTGTGGACATGAATCTGTAGCAGAAAATCAAATTTTCAGAAACATTTATTATCATGGTAACAGCACGAATTTTGACGGCTTTGTAATCGTATCGTCATTTTAAAATTTTGTATGGAAAAAGCTAGTTTTTTCTAACGTCCGATAGGGGCGCTGCTAAGTTTTCATAGAAACTTTGACGATACGATAGCCGCGATAAGACTACAGATCTCTCAAAATACGTGCTTGGGCTTCTGTTTTCATTCTTCATATTATTAATGTTACTACAGCACAGCTGGGACATTCGCCTTTCTTAAGTATATAAAATAGTTTAGTTCTTAAGGATATGATCCAGATAATATAAGTTATTTCCTCATCAGGTTAATAATGTCCCTTCTGTGCTGAGGCTCAGGCATTCCTTATAAACGAAATAGAAACAACGGGTCACAATGCAACCCACCACGAGAGCCCAGGTTCGGTTTGGTGTGCTAATTGTAAAAGACTGGAAAGGAACCAACGGCTTAACGTGCTTTCCGAAACACCGAAGAGCTGAAGATAATAAATATTGCTAACAACTGCTTGTTTGAGTTCCTCAAAAAAGGGAATTTACGTGAAATTAAAGCATTCTCCAAAGAACGTTGAAAGACAATATCAGGCTACCCTGATCAAGGTTTTGCTGGCCCTCACTGATTCACCGTAAGATTGTAAAAGCAAAATAATTAAGTATACCATTTAGTACGTACTCTTTTCTTCAGCTTTTCACCCAAGAATGATTTAAGGATAGTAAAAGCAGCCTCAAAGCCCATTGGTGTGTTCATGATGTGATTACTCTTGACTCTGACTGGTAGAGAATTTTGGAAACTGGAAATAGCCTTCTTTGCCATTGCTGGAGTCCACTGGCTCAACACAGCAACTCCCACGTTCTTCATGTCCACTATTACTTCCTGTAAAAGAAATACTTGTAAAATGTAGAACATATTTATCATTTTAGAATTAGTGTTCATTCAAAAGTGTGTGAATAAAAAATAATGCCCCAAAACCTAATTTTAGCTGTTGGGAAATGTTTTTCTTAGTCGTTTCAGCTCGGTCCTAACTACAATAATTTCGAATTTTTGGGATAGTTAATGAATCTGGCTAGAGACCTAGCAAAGAAGCATCGGCCATGTAGCTAGATCAGAAATTAGCTCAAGTAGAGATATTGGGGAGTGGCAAGATTGAACAGGGTGCAGGAACTTGGCAGGAACTCCGCTTGGTAGTCGAAGACCTACCAAGGTAGCAAGATGAAACTGGCTAGATCGGCGTGGTATAACACCGATTAAATTCAGCGAATGTGATTTTAAAACAATATGGACACTTAGTTGATAAAGTTAAAACGTTATATTTGCAGAGAAAATTTTGCAACTACATATTACATTTAATAATTATATACTTATCTGTAAATTGTCTCTAAATTTTATTTTTTTGTAATGAGACAAACATTAATATATATAGAAATAGATCTATTACTTTCTACCTTTTTGTCAGCATAATTTTTCCAAAATGATCTGATTTTGGAAAACTTTTCTTACACTAACAAAAAGTTAGATAGACATAGTTAAGTTATTGTTATTTTAGACGAACTGGCAGAAGCCATAGCATTAACACAAAACAGGACTCAAAAGAAAATAGTAGAAACAAAATAGTGCTTTACAAAAGATTTATGTTTTCAGATAGCTCAGTTATGGATTCAATCTTTTCGATACTAGCGATGTATACCTTCAGACGAAATCACCTTAGTATTTATCTCCACCTCAACGATACACATATTACACTTTACACTGGCAAGTAATACAGAAAAAAATATTTATTACCTCGCCACACACAGTGAAGTGGTCGTCCTCTAACATAAGAATTTCAGTGATCATTAGCGATACTTTCAGCAGGTCAGACAAATGATATTGTGAAGGATTCAACAATCCAATTCTTACTATACTTATTCTTGGAGCAACTTCGCTTGCACATTTCTTCAGAGGCAGGAATGTTCTGAAAAAGATAAAAAAAGTATGGAAATAAATGCATCAATATGAAAGTAGGTACATTATAAATGTTGAATTGTCCAAATATTATCATTTTAAATAATGCAATTATGAACTTTTAAGCTAAGTCCATGCTGGATTCAGAAAGTACGAAAAATATACTCCATAACTATTTAGTATGTTTTTTTATTTTTCTGCTTAAAAACTACAACGGTCAAAGAAAATTCGCAAACTGCTGTAAGTAATGGATTCTTTTTTTGATGACAGGTAGAAAAATGCATTGTCCTACAACATCATCACACACTCCAACCGATTTGCGAGCAAATCACTTGAAGCACTTACGAGTTTCTGCGTAGTGCATTCGACCTCTGGCTGATCCTGGGCTGCTCCCGTGCGAAGTCGCTCGGCTTTTTTGAGGACAATATAATATATTTATTTTAATTAATACTCACCCTAATTTCAAGATTTCCTGAATCTTTGAATCTAAGGGGTCCCTGTTTGAGAAAAATTCTGGGACTAGACTTTTGAGAGTATAATACATATCTATTTTCTCTTTACTTCTTTCCATACTAAATTTGCTACCTCTTAAAAATGCTACTAACCATTGATCCGCTGCAAGAAATAAAAAAAATGTTACTTTACTTTTTTCAACGAATTTTTACTTTACAAAATACAGCGCCATCTGTTTCCACCGACTGATACTATGCTGTAATTTTGGTGCTTAGGCAGCAGACCTACGTTTTGCTTTTTATTCATGAAGCTGCTTTTAGCTTCTACGTGGTTTTAACAAATTCCAAGAGATGGAGCTGTACATATTTATTTCACAAAATATCCATTGAGTAACTGATACTATCACGTAATGTACGGTTCACGCAAAAGAGTTATTTAATGACACTTACTGGGCTGTACAGTATATAAGTGGGGCTGCTTTGCAAGCCAGGTCCTTAGACCTTCGATGTCAGAAGCCACTCTTCGAGGCTCCTCATTAATCTCTTCTTCAGCCTTTTTGAGAAGAGCATCGCACAACGGTCTTAACGTCATTTTCATACTTTTTGTTTCAGTCCAGCTGAAATTGCAATTTTATACACACTTTAGTCGTCAAGTGGATATTATGCTAGATTAGATATTTTAGACCTAGATATTAAAGTAAAAATGTTTTTCGTGAATTGCACGTTGTACCTATGGGTTAACAGAAGTCTTTTTTTATTAACGGAAAAGTAAGTACCGTAAATTGGGGCGTTTTTCAAATTCAGTGTGACATTAATCATTACTTTTTATTAATGTATTTTCAAAACTCGAATGTGTCTTAACGCATCGTTTTTTTTTTTATTGATAACACACTATTCAGGATTTTCTCATCTTTTGATGAGGTTTGAGTGCAATCGCTGTTGTTTTAACAGCATTGCACTCATATCTCGTATTTTTTACTTTAAAATGGGGTGTGCTTTTCTAAGCACCAAATCTTAAGAGACATTTTTTTATTAACGGCAAAGTAATCTACCGGCTAAGTCGCCACTCTAATTTATTTTTAATTAAGACTGATAAATTATGATTACTGTGGAAACCTATTTAAGATCTATGCGTAGAAGCTCCCAAAGCGCCATCTGTGGAAGTAACCTCTACCTTCAACGATATCGTTGTGTGCCTTATAGAAAGTCACAGCGAAATAACCCACGCTTTTGTTGGTGTTGTGTTTCTGTAGAATGTTGAATTATACTCTAGTATCACAACCGTCTATATAAGCTGCTGTGATGGAAAAACCTTTTTAAAACTACTATTTACCGAGACGTCATGTGGCTAATCGTGTTTGCGGGTGACGGATGCGATTGGCCATGTCAAGTTCCGGCATAACAGGCCCTGCCAGAATACCAGCGCTGCTGTGACACGTTTTGTGGCGGGTTGCGCCTAGCATTATGCTGAGGCAGGGTCTTGATTGACCACAAATGGACCACTATGAATAATGTCTATCTACTATGAAATAACTCCATTAAATATAATTTTCAATTTTTTTGTATGTTGTTTTGTAAATTCTGTGTGAAAAATGTGTTTCATTTATTTATGACAATAACTGCGAAGTACTACATCAAATAGTTTTAAGCAAAAAGTAAAGCTTTATAAGTTAAATCAGTCCATCTTTATCAATTATTTAAAGCATGGGTTAAAACTCAAATAGGGAGGTTTTGCTTTAAGTTTCACTTTAGAACTTTAGTGCAAATAGACCTTATTAAAAATAGGGTTCATAAGTTACTTTACAGTTTTTCAAAGAAAAACTTCCTCCAAGAGTACATGATAGGTAAGTTATAACATAAATGGAAGAGAAACCAGTAATAAGGTACCTAAACTAACTTTATCAAATGATTTATTCAACCGGCAACAATTGAATCTTAACTGATATTAAAAATGTCACTACCTATAAAATTTATCATGTTGCGATATGATATAAAACTGATAAATTCGTCATTAAAGTTTCCACAATGAATTATTTGCAGTTAGGTAATAGGAAGTGTAATTTCCAAAATTATACATAAGTATTTCATACCACGAAAGTAACTGCTATATCTTTCTATGAATTTTCATATAGAGATTAGATAGGATTAATTGACTAAAATTGATTTTGTAGTGGGTATAATAAGTGTTGGAAATATTATTCTACTTCCGAACAAGAAGAAGTCGCCGAAGTACACAAATGACCATCTTTCTTTCATTTCAAATTCTTTCGTCGTTCTTTTAATTTAAATTTTGATAGTATTGTTAATGTCGACACAATTCACAATCCGCGTGAAATATTTGCAAAGGTATATTTGTTTATTCAAAAGTATTTTTTGACTACTACCCGTATTTTTTTGACGTATTTAACATTTTACAATTAGATCAAAAGATTCCATAACCGTTGAACGCACAGAACACAGAAAGAGGTTTCTACGCTCTGTGGTTGAACGTTAGGAGGAATGTCGCTAGAAATGGAATATAGTCATTTAATAGCTCATTGATAGAAAAGACTGTGTCAATCTGTTTCTTGTCTTTGAGATTATCAGAAAATCACGGCTGATCTATCTATCATCTCTGTCGTCTGTTCGTTTAAAATATATAATTTTTTCATGTAAAATGAGTAGTGGCCTTCTATGCATACTTGCGATAGGCAGACACTACCCCCTCCCCTACCCCTTCTTCCAAAACGCGGACTAAAGTTAGTCTTGGTTTAAACCTAATGTTGTCTGTGTCCTCTTTTTGGCAAACAAAAGTTTTAAGCAAACATCAGTTTTAGTCCAGGTTTAACTTTAGTCTACGTTATGTAATAATATAGCTTGATTCCATCCCCTACTGCCCTGTGGAGCTTTGGAAAACTTACTTCAAGAAATATAGTGTTAGGTAAATAATAATAGTACTCTTCATATATTGTGTCGTATGAGGCGGATTGTTACGTTCCCTAAAAAATGATTGAGCGAAGCGATGACTGGTTCATGCGTCATGCTCGTGAACGGGTGCTGCCAGCGGCGATGAATCTGTCTTTGCTATATTGGATACTATTTATTGTTGTATTTAACTTAAATCGTACATTTGTTTTTATACCTAAACAGTAGGACACGGCATTTCCTAAACTTCTTTTAAATCAGTTTTTTAATTTTTTTTATTTTATAGTCATAATTGTTATATCATTTTTACGCCAAAATATTGCAAGACTAATTTAGGTCTTTACTCTCCTATAAACAAGCGCAATATAATTCAATAAGCAAAAATAAGGTAATCGATTTATTTAATCTGAGTCTCCCTACATTTAAAAAAAAATACAGCTTAACACTTAATAACTCATCTATCTACGCTTTTTGTTTGGTTTTTTATCTTAAAAATTAAATGTAATGGACTTTTGTTTGCTTTTTGTTAATTTATAATAATAAAATAATAATAAAAAATAATTTTGTAAAGTATGCCTTATGCTCCTAATTAGATTACACTTTTTTTTTGCTTTCCGTGACAGCCTGTTATTAAGGCAACACCAAATTATTTAAGAAAAGAAATGTATTATTAGCATGTAAGGTGTATGTTTTTGTTGGTTGTCCAAATAAATAAAATAAAAATTAAATAAAAAAATCATTTACATTTGTAATAGAAAGTGAATTCATGAGTTATCTCATATTGAAGTTGTTTTTAGGGTCCCGTACTTCAAAAGGAAAAAACGGAACCCTTATAGGATCACTTTGTTGTCTGTCCATCCGTCCGTCCGTCCGTCTGTCAAGACCGTTTTTCTCGGGAACGCGTAGAGGTATCAAACTGAAATTCATATCTAATAGTCAGGTTTACTGTCCCTTGGAGCTGTGAAAAAATCAAACTTCTAAGCAAAAGCAATCAAAAGATTGCTTTTTATGACGCAAATGTCCGCAAATTTTCGAAACCCGCACGGCAATCAAAACCTACAGGGTTCCCGGGAACTTAGAATCTTGAAATTTGGTACGAAGTAACGTCTTATAGTACAGATAAAGGAAAAATTGCGAAAACCGTTATTTTTTAGTTACATCATATATTAAAAAATATTTTTTAATGATTATTAAAATATATCTACAGGTTTTTACGGAACCCTCGGTGCGCGAGTCTGACTCGCACTTGGCCGGTTTTTCAATTTGATGACTCTGTATATGAGAGGATGATGATGAGGGAGAAAAAAACAGCCTTTGCCGAGTTTCTTGCCGGTTCTTCTCAGTACAAGGTCTCCCGCCGTAGATTCGCGAACCGATGGCATAGCTTTTCGACATTCACAAGTGCTTGCAACCTAGACTAGCCTAGACTGAATAAACGATATTGAATTATGTTTTTTTTTCAATTTTGTTTTAAACTTTCATAGTCAGTAATATTATTTCATGTTATTTAGCGGATTGATTGTTTGTGAGTACCCGATATTTCGGCACTGTTGAAAATGCCACAGTCACAGACGGCATGGACTGCACTTTTCATTTCTCGATGCGCTACTTACTAATATTGGTGCTAATTCTGTTGTAAATTTCTGCTATTACTTTAGTACCTAGGACTTCATTAACATTTTACTGCAGGCATTAACTGATATTTTAATGTAATATTCGTATGTTATTATTGACTTCTTTTGATTTTACTTCTTCCCTTATTTGAAGCAGTCTATCTCTTGAACTGCCACCATTTTTTCAACAAAACAGCGCCAGATTTCAAAATTAGAACTAAATTAATTTACAATTTTCTGTTTTGCATGTGTTTGACCTAATATCAATTGGTAAATGGAATTTGAATTATATAACATAAAGCTATAAATGAGTATCTGACTTGTTTCAAGTCAGCTTAAACAAATAATAATTGTAAGTAACTATAAATTTTACTAATATAAAATTTATATATTTACTTACAATTATTATTTGACGTTTACATTTTATTGATTAAAATGTTTATGTTTCTAGGCATAGATGAATGATTGGTCTCGCTTCTGTCGAGTGAAGCGAGACCAATCATTTATCTATGTTTCTAGGCTTAGATTATATTTTTTTTGTGGCAGGTTAGATTTGTTTAACAAAACTGTAATTACCTACCCCTCAATAGAAAAACCAATTTCGCTTCGAAGAACCACTAAAGAAAACTCATGAAACCAATCATGGTATCTCCTAATAATAAATTGAAATATGTAATTCTTCAATTACCTATCTAACGTATATTTAAGTCTAATTTATTTTCTATTCTTTTAATTCTAGAGCAATAACCACGGTGTGCTTTGAGTTTGAGTGCCAATTTTTAATGCAAGGTAGGCATTATTTATAGTACAGACACCTATACAGAAGTCTAGTTAATTTAATCATGGACATCTTTATTGGTCTTAATTGTACGTTAATTTGTTTCTACGAATATTAATACCTACTTTCTAAATAGCAGAAAATGATTACTATTGTTCTCAATAACATAGTACTTATTGACTACTTATATTATTTTTTCATTTTCAAATTCAATTTAAATAAGTATTATGAATTTATTAAAAATAAACGCAACCCAAGGACTGCACTTGTGCCCTTCGTTTTCTATATATAAACCGTGAATGATAAACTTAATTAACAAAACACAAAAAAGTAAAAGCATAATATGAATACTTATTTACAAGATTAAAAAATTTGCAAGCAATTTTATTTATGCTTTCGCGAGCTAATTACTTCTATGATATCAGTTTGCTCTGTACTAAGTATCTTGAACACAATAAGTTGTCTATTCTATATACTTCTACAAAATCAACTCCATACTTACTGTTCTTTATTATCAATGAATATTTTCAAAACACAATTCAACAGGTCATCTCCCTTTTAACATAATTATTATCGTAATGCAAAAATGTAAATTAAAACCTACACTACGACGGCACTAAACGTCTTCTTTCTTTGGAAACAGCCGTCTTACTAATGGCGCCAATGTCATTGTGTATACTTTAGAATTTTATCGCTTTACGAATGATACAGACGAATATAACCTTTAAACGCTTCCATATAAGGCGTTCGCAGGTAAGTGATTCACCTTTGCAACTGTTTCATACCTAATTGTCTGTTAAATAGTGATTACATCGTTGCCAGCCGTTGAAACAGTTAATTTTATATATTCATTCTTATTAGCTGGTAAGTAACAATCATTAGATTAGCTCAACTCTGGTTATATAAGTGAAAATAGCTAAATATTAACAAATGGCATGGTTATAAACCATACAAGTTTTTACTATATTTACTTTCTTACTGGAACATAAGAAATCTCTGAAATCTGCTCCTTATTTGATAAATTTATTCCTATGCACCACCTACTAGCTTTTCAGCACTAATCTAGGACAGGGCAGTTTGACAACAAACTACTTACTTATGATGATGAAACAGCCAACAGTAGAAATAGTAACTTCACTATTTTTCATAAGAAAGAATTCGCACAAGCAAAGCCTCTTTAAAAGAATATTCTGGGAATGGCGCTATGAATTTAGCTTAAACCTCTCATCTCCACCTGAACTCAGTTTCGGTGGTGAAATTTTTATGACTTGGGTAGGTAACCAACTGCAATTACCTATGTTTAAATGAAGCCGCAATGCCATATACAATGCCCACAGTTCTATCGATTTTCCAGTTATCTGGGTAAGTGTAAAGCATTATCTTTACGATAACGATTTAATGAAATAGGGGCATTGGCGTCGGTCACTTTGGCAGCACCATGCTTGATAAAGGGTATTCCCTTTACCAAGCATGGTGCTGCCAATGTAGATTTAAAAATAATATTACAAAAATCAGTTTATTTCTTCAAATACATTTATTTATTTATTACCTATAATCAGTTTGCTTTTATGGTTGGTGACTTGTTTAGAAGGGTGTTCAATACTTGATAAATCGCTCTTAGCCGATTGCCATAGGAAGATGTTACAGATCAGAGTACATTTACCCTCGGGCGTTCTTCAGGGATCTCACCTTGGTCCACTACTTAACATACATACTTTATACTTAAACTCACTTATGTTATACAGATGACTAAAAAATATATACCCATTTAACTCGTATGAGATAAATCTATTACAAAATATAATTACAATTTAATTAACATTATTAATTTGCTATACAAACATAATTTTGATAGTTGAATTTATATTAATAAATGTATTTTCTTAACTCATAAGAATATTTTAATTTATTATAATAATCATTCTAACGGAACTGAGATCAAAAGATTAATCTGGTACGTGATTTACACTCATAAATGGTTATAGTAAGTCACATAGATAACATTATCATAAGATCTTGAAGAAATCCGGGATTTGTTATACCTACAGACACGTTACGTTAGTAAATGTTTTAAAAATATCTCTTCAGTTATAAATATTGTTAGAGGCATTTTACGATTTTCATGCTAGGTTTGGCTCTATTTATTTATTTAATTTACATACAAATAAAAATAATAAAAACCAAACATTCTTTTATCTCCTTATATTGCAGATGCAGTGAATTTGCCCTAATTATGATTATCGAAAATTGTCGCTGTTACATTATTTTCATTAAGTACTACTATTAACAAAACCATTTCATTCAGGATCATTGGTTTGCTTTAATGAAAAACTTAATATATACCGATATCTATAGCTTTTCTTATTCTCATAACCAATGGTATGATTTCCAGCTCTTTACATTTAAGCAATAGTTTTGCTTAAAAGTACTTTTTGCCAGTTTTAGATTTATTAGGTTTTCTACTTTGATATAACATGTTAAATAAAGCACATAATTACTGAATGGCAGTTTATTTTTTTCCTTTCTAAAGCAATATAGTTACTTATTTGAAACAATATAACTACAAATAATTTACTTTCAGAGTGTTCAATCAATGTCTAAAGACCTGAAAGATCCAACGACTTCGTCACTAGAAATTTTGATACGTCTTGATTCGTCACTTCCAAATTGCTCCTCTTGCTGCATCCAGGTTTTATATTCCACTATTTTAGAGACCCAATGATCTGAAAAAATTTAAACTTTCATTTGCAATTATAGCCCAGAGTTTAGATCCTAGATGATCTAAGATGATGATAACGATGACATACGCAGTTACAAGAACTTGTGAATGCTACAAAGCTACTCTCCTTATTCTTCTATTCCCAATTTTTAATTTATTATTTTAATAAATTCCAGACGACGACGACGACGAGAGATGAGGCTCACATCACGGCCCGGTCTCCCTGCCCCAACCACACAGAAGGCGTGTGCCCCAATTTCGAGGGTATTAATTGGCTGATGACAACGATTTCATTGACACTTCTTTAGCCTTAAAGGGTATCCCGAAAAGAGAGAGAGTCGACAAATAAAAATAAATAAATATTTCCAAGACTCACACCAATTAGCCTAGCCCCAAAGTAAGCACTGTAAGTCTTGTGTTATGGGATGCTAGGGTAACGGATAGAATACATGTACTGTACATATATAAGTATATTTATATAGAAATACATATGAGACATCCATGACTAGAGTACAAATGCTCGTATTCATCACACAAACATCTGCCCCCACCGGGATTCGAACCCGGGACCTCTCGAGTCGGCGCCACCATGAAACCCGACGTACAAACCACACGGCCACGGAGGTCGTCAAAAATAGCTTCCATTTTTGGAGCAGAAGCCACCGAGTTACATCTTTTCTAATATTCATTTCATTATTCTTTAATGTTCCCAGCAATGAGTAAAATGAGCACAGTTCCATGGGGTAGGGGATTGATTAGAATCACGTATTCAAGGTAAGCAAAGATGAGTTAGTGTGAGAGCTTCATTAAAAAATGATTTACATTAAGGAATGTTCCTCGGCTCTTGCTCATCACGTAACTTACCCAAAATTTCTCGCAGACTCCCACCATCACCTCCATACTCTGTTGGTAATATTTCCTTTGGGACAAACTCCAGAATATCATCAACATTTTTGTGTATGCGTAACTGCAAAGCGTTGTAAAAAATAATTAGAAATACTAATATTTTTCCCTACGTGATAGAAACAGAAATGAGGAAATCCGCAAGAGAATTGAAATAATTAACTGATATCAATCGAAGGATTGCTTATCCCAAAGGATTAGGACAAGTAACGAAGAGAACCAATGGCCGTTGTAGCGAAAAGCTTCTCAAATTCCGACCGCGTATAAAATGACTTTCAATATCCCACCACGAGTTGGATCTTCGATCTAGGACGCGTACCCGTGAGATGCCGCTGGATGCTGACAGAGATAACTGAGCAGCGCGGAGATCTTTGAGGAGGCCTATGCTCCATAGTGGGCGTTGCATGGCTTAAGGACGATGATGACAAATAATGCATAGTCATCATGATTCCAACATAATTGCAAAACTAACCTAACCTGAGTTAAGATCAAAGGTGAAATTGTATTAACAAGAAAATCCTAATAAAAACAGTTTTATTTTGAGATTCGTTTAAACATTTTGCTATGTTAAATAGGTACCTTCAATATATAACTGATAAACCTAAAAAAAGTAGGTATGTTGTCTGCGTGAGTTTATGATATTTTTTTATTCGCTTTCACGCCTAAACCACTGTACGGATTTGGATGAAATTTAGTACGCATAAAGTTTATGACTTGGATTGAGATACAGGATACTTTTTAGCCCGAAAAAGTGTTAGGTTCCTGAGGGATTTTCAAAAACTATAGGTAACGCGGACGAAGTCGCGGACGGCCGCTAGTTACAAAATAAAGGTTGCGTAAACTCTATAGGATTTACTAAAAACCTCACACACGACTCAAATATATAATCAGATCTTCGTTCATTAGTAGTTTTAGTAAGAAGTGTTTTTTTTGAAGTTATACTTCTTTAGCCGCGTTATGAAAAAATTATGAGAGTGAAATTTTAAGATGCGCGCGCATCACTGTAACACAAAAGTAACATAATGAAGTTAGCCGCGGGCGCGTTATGAAAAAATGATGAGAGTGAAATTTTAAGATGAGTGCGCAACACTGTAACAGAAAAGTAACACCATGAAGTCGGCCGCTAAACCGCACATTACTCGTAAGTCTCGAAAAAAAGCTTCCAACAAAATAGTAATAGGATCTCTTAGTTGCACATGTTGGGACGCTCGTCGCCTCTGATCACTGTTTTCATATTTATAATATTTATCCACATGTTTCTAGTTTCTATATTCTTAACACGTGTTATAATGTTATACAAATGCGAAATTTATATGTGCTAATAATTTTTATTCAGTAGTGATTTAAATTGAATATTTTGATTATTTATTAAATTTTTCAAATTAAAACTGAACTTTATTGACTGCGTTGACTATCCTTTTCCAATCCTTTTATTATCTTATTGTAATTAATTATCTGCATGCAATTAAAAACTATTTTTTAATAATTCCAAAAAGAAGTATAACTTCTCACACGCGTACTTAAGTACACGCACCCATATTTTTATGTAATACACACCCTTTGTTTGGCTTTCTCATTTAGAAATCCAGATATCAATGTGAATATTATTTCGATACCCGTCGGTAGGTTAAAATGGTGACTTCCTCTCAACCGCAACGGCAATGAGTCCTGAAATCATGAAATAATATATAGTCTAATAGCTCTCTCTACTTATAGCAAAAATAGCATTAAACGACTACAATAAAAATAAGCTAAGTAAATTTTCAGAATGTTTGTTTATTCAAACATTGTAAATTGGCATCTTGTCTACACAATATGATATTGATTAATTAATTATTCAGTATTATATTGTGTAGACAAGAATTCACTGAGACAAAGTCTGTTTCTTTGTCTGATGCGTTTTCCCATTTGCTGTTCAAACGCTTTTGAAGAAATTTTGATAAGGATACGGCTATAGGTTACTTTTCATCGTGTGAGTGTAATATAAACGTGAAATAAGAAAGAAGGTTTGTATGCCGCAATTAAATTTGGTCATTAGCCCATTTTCGGGTGCACAAAAGAAATTAGTGTCGGGTAAACAAAAGGAAATCTACCCGAATACGGGCGTACTCGACTCCATTCATTTATACTTAGTCGTTTACCCGAATTTTATTGGCACTCGTATTCGAGCTAACAGCCAAGTGTAATCGCGCCATAAGGGAAATCAATGATTAATTTATCTAACTAAACTTTGGGTGGCTTTGGTACAAAAGGTGCTAATATTTGAGTTCGAAATTTTATTTAGTTTTGTCGTAATGTAACGTGGGTCTATAGAAGCTAGACAATAGCTTGACTGGCGATACTTGGACACGCATAAAAAAGGTTATGGGAGACGATAAATATGTATGTGCAGCTGAAGGAGCGTACTTGAATCAAAGTTCGAAAGTAAATTTTAGTACCAAAGCTTTGTCACGCAGGTATGGTATAAGCAAGAGTGAAATCGTTTTAAACCTGTCCCACTAAAATCATTTTCCTTAGTAGACTAGGGTTGGCTTGTGTCAAGTGTGTCATGGTGACACCTTCGTAGTCCACTAGCACTTTGGTGCCCAGAATAGTCGACGTGTCATCCTCCATTAATAAAATCTGTAAAAAAACAGAGACAAACATATTTTTGACAAAGATAGAGATGCAATTTTGTTTTTGCTATTCAGGTAACAAAGACTGATTCACGGACCTAATAAAAAACGGACGTAACCTCGTCGTAGTGAGTGAAGCATGCCAATGGCCACCCGCTTACCGCGTGTGCGTGATTTGAGAGTTGTCGGGTAAATCATCTATTTCCCTACTACTTTTTAAATCTCGCAAACTAAAACATTATTAATATTATATAATTAAACATATATTTGATAACGGAATATTTACCACGTATTTTACTCATTGTGAGCTCCTGATATTTCAGTAATTTATACGGTCACACTGCCAGAAACATGATGTTGGCCTATCAAATTCATTTTTATGAACACAGAGATAGCAAAAGAAAAAACATGTTACGTATAAAGAAATTTATTGTTTACATATAAATAATAGTGTCTTAATATTAAGTATGCGGTTAATAATATACATTTATAATAATGAAATAATCAGTACAATCAGGGCTAATTGGGAACTTGATATTATCATTTTTTTATTTAAGACACTTACCACAAATGCTAGTGGTTAGTGTATCCACCCGGACGGCGGAACATGCAGATTGGAGTCCTGCCTGAAACCTTGACAGAGTTGTTTTTTATTTTAGAAAAACTATTCTATAAATTTTTAATCGCGCAGATTGCGTACGGAACCAAACAACGTAGCCTCTTACCTGTAGTTATAAAATCTACATAATAAAAATGTGCACTGCACACAGTACAGGTAGATGATGGGTTCCAATTGTTTTCTCCTCTGCGGTTTTGAATAACTAAAACCCAGTAATCATAAAATAAATTATTATTATTATTATTGAGTCATTTTATATGAATAATATGGATTCTGTTCTTTTCCGTTTGGAATACGGAACCCTAAAAAGTTACGAAACCTTGTCTTACCGAGTCACAAATACATGAAATTCAAATTTCCCCACTATTAGGAAAATTTTCCCGTAAAAAAAGGAGCCACACAGACGTATTTTTGTTTTGAATTTTCTTCACACTAAATAAAATATAATTTAGAAAAAATATCGCAATTCGTCATTACTTACGCATGGTAGGTGATTACTTGTGACTTTTTAAGTTTACTCGTCTGGTTAGGTAGTCTGGTTTTTACATGATATCATCACACAAGATGACATATTTTAAAAATTTCGTCGGAGCAATTAAACTGACTGTGTGTGACTGGCGCTGTCACACAGAGTCAAATGGCAGCGGGTTGTTTGACCTGGTGCATTTGTGCGAGTGTATATAGTGTACAAAAAACAAAATTGTAGGACCTTGCATGCTTCACATCATTTTAGTTTAATGTTACGTCAGTCCGTCCGTCATTTAATTTTCAAGTAGCTTGACATTTTAGATCCTTGTCGCCTGTGGTCTCTTTATACCCGTTCAAAGAGGTTTAAACTTAATGATTGAAGAATGTAAAAAAATAACATCACAAAAAGTAACTACAAAAGTTACTTCATCATTTATGAAAATAATATATTTAATAAAATAATCTACCTGAACTAAGTAATAAAGTGCGCACATAACATCTGCTACACTGTTTACTTGCGGGTCGTACATTCCCGGCCTTATGAGGATCATGCGTGGGTTCAAACCAGTCTTAGGTTTTGGCAAGATGACAATCGTCCTGTAAATCGCAAACAGAGTTAAAATTAAATAATTGAATTTTGCAGGTCCAGTAAAGTGATACGAAACTCTCATACGAATTATAATGTATACTTAGTTGAGACTAAGATTACTACTACTGACGTACACGGGTAACACTTATATGTTGGACATGTCATCAAAAGCTCTTTAAGAGGAGTTATTATAATTCGCGACCTCACACATCTTCTCCTCACCTTTATATCTATTAATCTCAACCAGATCATGGATCTAACCTAGACCTAGCCAGTCTAGTCCACTAAATAAAATAAACTTATCCAGAGGATTACGAGAACTGATCTTTAGCAACCAGTCCATAATTCTACAACAGCAACACGACTGCTACCAGACCTTGTCGGTTTTATGACACTCACGATTATAGCTTAGTGATAAGTCGGCGCGAAAAGTATTGCTTACAAAACGGTATAATTACGCATCTGGTCAAACTACCTTTTTTTTTGCAGTCCGGAGGTTTTCGGGCCCGTTGAATTTTATTCCTAAAATCTTTTTTTTTGGACCTAACACAGTGTTAAAATTGCTAAATTTATAAATTAAAAACCATGCCTGCCATGCCAAAAGTTCAGTGGAGGTATGTTATTCTGTTTTATACAGCTCCTATAAAATTTAATTTCATGTTATTATACCGTTTTGTTCGACAGCTCCTCAAATGATTTTTAAAATTTAAATTTAGAACCAACTTAACTGTGGGATAGTCCAGTCTTCCTGTTTTTTTTTTGTGGTAAAATTTTTGAACCAGTGTTTTATATCTGATATTTATGTTAACGACGGTACTGAATCCGAATATGAGGGAATGTCCTGGGGACACCATATATTGGCTGATTACTCTAAGCGCAATGGCTAACCTAGGGGCCCATTTTAATGGGCTGTATAAATACTACCCATTAAAGTGCCAGTGCAATTACAAATATTACGATTCCAAGTTTATTGGAAAAACTCGCGTTTAATTCAACTAATTAAGACGTACCTTAGCTAGAAATGATCGTGAAGGATTTTTCTATCCCTGAAGTTTACTAAAAGAACCAAATCTTGTAACCTATTTTTTTTTACTTTTTTGTAGTTTTTTTTATTAATCGTCGCTCCTGAAGTCAAGTATGGACCAAAATGCTCAAATTTTCCAGAAATAATTAGAGAGCATCAAAATCTTCAATTTGCATTTTGGTTTTCTCCATACACCTATTTTTTTATTGGCAATCGCAAAATTATGATTTTTTTCAATATGCCTTTGCAAATATCAAAAAAATCAAAACTTCATTTTAAAGAAAATAAAAATTACTAGCGATACGTATGAACAAAAAATGTTTTCAAACATATATTAAAACATGAAATCGAGTACTTTGGGAGACCATATTATATTGGCTAATTACTCAAAGCGCCATGGTCGAAATTAAATTCTGACCTCATAGTCGGATTCAGCAGCTCGAGATTCGCATTTCATTTTTTTTCGAGGGTGCTGTATAAAATACTGCTTCATAAATTTAACCACATACAAAAAAAAGACAGGATAGCAGGACCAAGATGATTATTATTATTTAAGATTTTTGGGGCTATGCAGTCCTAATGAAACTATTAGTCACTCCGACCTGAAATATGTATTGTGAGTCGCCACCAAGTTTTAGTATATCTAGCCTGACAGTTTCCAAAAAGCTGAAAACTTTTTACATTTTAGATATTTGATTTACAGATAAATGCTACGTTTTCAGATAAGACCCCCACATTTACATAGAAGATGTTTCGGTGTTTTACGCGATTTAATAGGGTTATTTTCCCGCAGTAAAACCTAGCCTACGTGTTAATCCAGGGTGTCAGCTAACTCCATACCAAATTTATTAAAATCGCTTTAGCCGTTTAGACGTGAAAAAGTAACAAACATACACACTCAGAAACTTTCGCCTTTATAATATTAGTGTGATTATGGTGTCTGTTAAGTTTGCAATGTCCAGTTAAGGCTCTTACCGACCGAAAAGTTTTGTTATTTTAATTGTAGTCATAATTAAAAGACTTACCCGATTCTTATAAAATCAAGAAACTCTGGTTGTGTCGGTTTTAACCTCAATGTGATTTCAGGTGCTGAACTCCTTAATGAATAGTAAAAATCTATTTTTACTTTTACTTTCTCCAAGCTGAACTTGCAACCCCTCAACAAAGCAAGAAGCCATTGATCATCTGAAATTAAAAAATAAACTAACTTAATTATGGTAAATGTCACAGAGTAGGCATCAATGTGAAGGAGAGATAAAAACGGCCTTTACCTTGGCAGAGATTAAAACGTGTGTTTTTGATGTGTAACATCGTTCCTCTCGCTTTCCTGCAATTTGTGGGAGTGATTTCGTGAAATAAGACGGAAGTGTGTAACAGGAAGTCGCGAAAGCGCGCGCTATTTGATTTAACTTTAGAACATAATGTTCAAATGGCTTATTCCCTTTCTTCTTGGTTCTGGGTTTTATTTCTTTTTTTACTAATATAAGGTGAGGTTTCAAATGTTACACATCATACGCGACTACTGTAAGGCTCGCTTGCTCGTTTTTAGGGTTCCGTACCTCAAAAGGAAAAAACGGAACCCTTATAGGATCACTTTGTTGTCCGTCTGTCCGTCCGTCCGTCCGTCTGTCAAGACCGTTTTTCTCAGGAACGCGTGGAGGTATCAAACTGAAATTCATACCTTATACTCAGGTCTACTGTCCCTTGGAGCTATGAAAAAATCAAACTTCTAAACCAAAGCAATCAAAAGATACAGCCATTTATGCCGCAAATTTTCGAAACTCGCACGGGAATCAAAACCTACAGGGTACTTCCCGTGAACTTAGAATCTTGAAATTTGGTACGAAGTAACGTCTTATAGTACAGATAAAGCAAAAATTGCGAAAACCGTAAATTTTTAGTAACATCATAAAATAAAAAATATTTTTGAATATTTTTGTACGGAACCCTCGGTACGCGAGTCCGACTCGCACTTGGCCGGTTTTTTTTTAATCTAGCCACGCTGACTCAATTTCTGGTACGTAAACTGGACCTCATGCTGGACTCGAAGCTAATGTTAAAGTCTATCAGTGAAAAGAATGTAATTGAGAGACTGTCATAGATTGGCAACCTTTTTTGTGTTGCTGTTTCGCCGAATGACGAATTCCACATTTGACGCCACGGCTGTGCTCATGATGATGTTAATACACTTTTAACTCCCAAACTGCACATTTGGATATTCTGGCTCCTCCGCAAGGAACATAAATGGTGTAAAAGGTACGTGTAGAACATATATCAACTTGCAATCTGGTCGCCTTGGCCGTGTTGCTCTATGCTTGCAATACAAGTATCGTTTTTATTGTAACTAGCGCAAGGCTAAAGGCGCAGACCGTTAACATTAAATTGAATTTTATTATGAGTTGAGATAGTCACAAGTTTACGTAATTTCTATCTACGGCTTTTTACTGATCATAAACCACTATTGTATTTTTCAATATTTGTAAAGTATCAAAATTATGTATCACTTCAAAGCGTTATTGAACAAAACATGCAAGTCGCATGATTCTACTCGTTTAAACATAGTTTGTTATCCGCCAAGCATTTAACAGATAACTGTACTAAGCTTGGTCACGCGCAGTGTATTTTATGATTGATCCAAGAAATAAAATCTCAGTACATCGTAAAAAGAAACCGATATTTATATTTATACATTATTAAAAAAAATGTATTATGATGTTACAATAACTGGATCCAGTTAGTTTAATTGACTTGCTGGGGTATAAAAATGTGACTATATATGTAATAAGTACAGTATCAATGTAAAATAGAGAGGAAAAATTAAAATCTACAATAACTGCGAAGATAAAGGTTTACCATGAACTTGTCGTATTCAGTAACACACCGATACATAGCCTCTCATACTGTATTTTAGTGGCATTGCAAAATATAAATAAAAGAGACTTACCCGTCCTCGCTTTCAGATGATGTTGTTTGGATATCCATTCCTTAATTTGGTTCAAATCGTTCAATATTTGCTTAGGATTTTCATTCAACTCTTCTTTTGCTATTTTTGCTAGCTCCGGAGTCAATTCCCTGACCATGTTTTTGTACACAACACACTGAAAGAAACGTAACTTTATCAGATTGAATCTTTAGAAGTATTAATCAGTTGCTAAGATATTCTGTTCTTCGATAAAGAATTGTTAAAAAAAATCCTTAGATATTTGAAGCAACTTTTATGACTATAAATTGTATACAATTCTTTTTTAGATATTGTAGGGTTAATGAGTCAGCTATTCTGAAAATTTATTTTTATAGAATGTGTTATCAATATTTATGTAATCCTTCCGTCCGGCGGGTCGGCGCATCTCCTCTCGAAACAGGCGGAAAACAAACGTCCGCTCGTTTCACGTCTCTTTTTCACCTCCATCATGGCAGCCCCTAAAACAAAGTTTGGTAATACAGCGGTACCTTCAACGCTGTTTGAGGTCGAGTTCTGCAAGATACGCGGGCATCCACTCTTACCTTAACGCTGTTCACTACCGTCTTGGAACAGCACGACCGGCATTGTTGTTCCTGATTCCGGAGACACAAATACTTCCGCCTGCTGACACAGGCTACCTCAACTATCCCGGCTACGTGCTAGAAGAGTCCTTCAAAGCAAAAGCCTGTATTTTCAGGTGGATGTTTGTTGTCGCCGTCTCCGCTGCTTGGCAGATCCCTCTTTTCCCATGGTGGGAGTACACGTCGACTCTGGTTCCCTAGCTAGAGTCTACGTGTGCCTCTAAACCTCTCACTAAGCGCGTTTTATAGTCTGTACCATGGCGAGTGTTCTGATGAGTTATTCTCTCTTATTTCACCACCCTTTCCTTCAGAGAATCACGCGCGCTGGCCTACGTTGTCACCGTCTCACTGTGGCAGCAATTCCAACGCGTACAAAGAAAGGAGATTGCTCAGCTTCCATACATGTTTGGCCTAAAGACCAATAATCATGAAAAATTGTTCCCTAGATTCGAAATTATATATAAATTACTGTAGAAACGAATATTATTGACGGACACCCCTGAGAACTTCTATAAACCATACACACTGAACATATTAAAATAATAAAAAAACAAATAAGTTATATAGTAAACTAGGGAAATCAAGCCAAGTACCGAAATTATGGATTAGATTCAGTTTTAAAGAGCATGTAGATTAACAGATAGTTGCCTGTTTTTAAAGTTAATGCTTAAGAGTAACTTTTAAAATCAGGTGTCATCTATGCATTTCCTGTTATAATAAGGTACTCTGTGGCAGAAACTGTGTGATGGATTGTGAATGAGCCACAGATTAGAGAGAATTCTTAAACTCTCGTTAAGCAAAGAAAGCTAAGAGATTTAGGTTATATAGCCATATATTCAGTAGCTTCAATATTTTTGTTATGTTTTTAATATAACCATATTTTAGATTTTTAGTGTATCACACCTTATAATTTTATTTATTTATTAATGTATAGTCAGGCAACGTAGGCCCATAGATAGATACCTTAAAGTCTAATATATATACAGATTATAATGTGTTATGGAGGTGTTTGGCGAAAAATGTATGGCAATAGACTTTATGATGTCGCCTACCATCTATAATAATTGTATGAGCACATTTGCATGTAGTGAAAATGATAATATAGTTGTGGATATTAATACCACAATGTAATAAAAAAATGATTTATTTTATCGATCTTTACAAAATAGATTTGTTTTTATGTTATATAAACAACTTCGATCAGTCTTTGGCTGAATGTTACACCCATAGCCATTAAAAATGATTCGTATGTTTTCGAAACCGGTAAAATTAAAAGTCCTTTTTAAAGTAAATATTATATTATACAAGGTGTCCGTTGAAATCTAATGACTGTAAATTAAATTATAAATTAAGCAAAGAATTACCGTGTATGTCAATATTTTTTGTGCATTTGGGCCAATTTGAGCAATCTCCTTTGGTCACTCATATCTTTGTCGCACTATCCGTAAATGGAATGCTCTGCCTACTCACATGTTCCCTCCTTCTTACAACCTTTGAAAGACATTACTTACAATCCTTTAAAAGAGGCGTGAAGAAGCAACGTGCATGCCGGCAAGGTGAGGATGGCTGGTGTGGCGGGTAGAACTGCTGTACCAGTTATCTTCACGTCTGGACTTCACCGTCACTTAACATCAGGTGGGTTGGAGTCATTTGACGGACCTATCTAAAAAATAAGAAAAAAAATAACTTACCCGTTCTGCTAAATCCTCTATTGTATTATTGATATTTTTTTAAATACTGCTCTCACGTTCAAGGTTGAACTAGTCAGGTTGTCGGCAGTGCCGCGTATTGACTGATAATGCGATGTGTGTTCTTATCTAAAGCTAGATACACGATTGAAAAGGAATTATTTTATTTCCTACGTGAATGCATAAAACTCTTGTGTTTTATTCATGATTATTTGTACCGTGTTCAAGATGAAATAACTAAAATCGATTCAGTTTAATAAAGATAAAAAATGATAAATTTTAAAAATCAAAAACCCGACTGCTAATATATTACTTCAAATAAAAACTAAAAATAAAAGCAGACAAGTAGTCTATAATTCTGTTAAGTAAGGAACAAAGCTACTTTAACAGCCGGGACCCATTAGATATTCAAGAATAGATAAAAAATTTCAAAAACTGGACTTGTTTGTTTTTATTTTCAGTAATATATTAGCAGTCGGGTTTTTGGTTTTTTAAATTTATCATTTTTATTTCACACTTTTTAGTTAGAATTATAAGAGGGATTAGAAGATGTGACTTCAATAAGAGAATAATAAGTACCTTGCGGTGGTTTTAGACCGATTGATTTATTAAGACATAGAGACCTAATCAGCAGGGTCAGGCAATCAATTTTCGCAAAAATGTGAGAAGTTAAATCAAGTCGTGACCTATATATCTAATGCATGTGAATTTTATACTTAACTATTACTAATTCAAAAAGTCATCTTTTACTTATGTTCTTTTTATTAGTTTAGAAGTAAATATAAAATGCATTTACTTTTATTCGTCGACATCTAAAATTGGCATTGGATTATGATATACACAAATACAGTGTCATATCCTAGTTTCATAATTTCATATGCATACATAATTCACGTAAACCAAATATGTAAATGCCAGAGGTTAACTTCAAATGTTGTTAATCACCCTATATACAATACCAATCAATGACGTAAATGTCGCAGGTTGACGAAAGCAATCATTCCCGTCTGTTGTTTTGGACATTGGTGGCAACTGCCTTAGATTGCTAAATTAAATAATTATGCAATCACCAAAGCAAAGTTTATAATATTTGATTAAATTAAAGGCGCAGAATAAAATTTTCATAGCGTTAGGTACAGCACCATAGCAATCCCATTTATTATCAATTTATCACCCAATGTATAGATTTACAGCTTTTTCGTTCTCTTTTAAAGCGTCAATAGTTATTACAGGTCGCAGACTTTCTGGTCTACCCTTTTGATTTGTAGTGTAAAGCACGAATGAAGAGTACTTCCACCTATCAATCGGGCTGCTACTAGCCTAGTAGGTATTACAAATAATGCAATCATAGCAATTATTTTCCAAATATTTTTTCTGCTTTTAGACAAAATAAGCTTAATTATGTATAAATTAGCGATTAACGAATCACTGTTTACCAAAAATGCTAAGAAGTTAGTTTTACAAATATAATCAAATAAACCTATTACTAACTTTATTTTTAAATCTTTCTCGTCAATTAAATATTACTGTCCTAACTATCTATACTAATATTATAAAGAGGCAAGAGTTATGTATCTGTCAAACTACTGAACCGATTTCGAAAATTCATTCAACATAATGAGGTGAAAGAAAACACGTAATGCATAAATCAGATCACTGGAATAAAGAGAAGAAATAAATATTATAAAAAAAAAACATAATGAGGTAGCTACATTATTTATTATTATACTTTCAAGCATTAATCTCAACATCGTTGATTAATCTGTTCGATTTATAAATCTAAAGAAAATTTTAGTTAAAAAAAAAATATTTTTTTTCTAGTATTTTTTTATAACTACATTTTATCCGAGTGACATAGCCTATATTTTATCCCGTTTAAATAAATTTTGCACGTGCAATGCCGGGATGGATCACTAGTTAGTATAATATAATATTAAAGATGCGAAAGTGAGTTTATTTTTGAAGCTTCCGTGGCCTAATAGCTGAGTCGATTATGATGAATTACCCTATAGAAATAGATGGGCCTTGGTTCTAAGCTTCAATATCGCAATACTTATAGGCGTAGGGTGATGGAAGGGGTGAATTACCTATAAAACTTTACATTATTTACTTTGAATTATCGTATATAATTACAAAACCAACATAATCGCGAACTAATTATTAATAAATACAGGGAGTCCATTAAACAAGTACCTACTAGCGAGGAGGAGGAACTAGGTCATTACTCACTATGTTAAGTAACCTTTTTTTGAGACATGAAATAATATCGTAAAAATAAACAAAAACAGTATAATTCTAAGTTTTTCATTAAATTACAATAATCATAAATACCTATAGTGTTAATTTATTTTTCATCATTTAATAAGAAGGAACTGTATCACAGTTTTATTGTAAGTAAGTACCTCGTATAGGATTAGATACTGCGAGTAACCCATTTTTTTCTTTTCGCCTAGGTTTTATCTACGTTTATACATACCAAAATTTAATTTCTTCTCCCACTATTCCCGCAGTCTACTCCTGCGTAGTACACGCGCTATCAGTTTTAATCGTTGTAACTTTTTAAATATTTACCGATTTTAAATATCAAAAGCGATAAAAGTATTTGTTTTGATAAAATATAATTTTTTAATACAATATGCGCATTTTGGAAATGGACATCAAATAATATTTGATTTTAGATTCACTTTTTTAGCGATAATGTCTTGTTGATAAAATAAATAAATGGTGTAACGGACTTTTTTACTCTACATTATAATCATGTAACTTTTATTGTTTTTGCAGTGCAGGCCAAAATGGCTCGCAGATGGGAGATTTTTTTTCAGTCTTACGTGACACACGTGTTATATTTTGGCCAATTCACTCAAAGACTACATAAATTATTATCTATATGTTATTATTATGTATGAGCTATATTATTGTAAAGTTTTATTAAAATCCATTCAGTACTTTTTAGGTGAAACAGTAACAAAGATCCATACAAACGTAAGATTGAAATTAAAAGCGCAAGTGGTAAATATACAACTTTAAATCGTTGTAGCTCCTAAAAAGTCATAAAATGAAAAATGGTGTAGGGAGCCTAAACGTGATTTTCGGTTATCTAGACCACTCGACATATTTCGTCAAATTATTTTTTTTAATTCGTCATAATATTGCGCCTAATTGTCCCCATATTGAATTTTGATTATTATTATATCTTTAGTAGCACTCCCATGATTAAGACAAAAAGATTGATATAATATAAATATAAGTATAAATCATCAAAATTTGTCCACGCTTTTGATGATTTATACATCAAAATCGTTTGGTCTCTAGTGTGCAACAAAGGAACATACATACATATAAGCTGTTAAACACTATACCCTGTCTGCGCAATCGGGTAAAAAGTATTTAGTGATACAGTGATTGCCTTGTTGCAGATTGTAACTTTTGTTTTATACAAAACGGTTGGCAAAAATATGCGTGGTATTACCAGACAAGTCTTACCAACCCGGACCCTATCTGCCTAACAATAGGCACTCGCAACTTTCACAGTACTGCAACCTGCAACACAATATTTTAGGGTAGTATTTTCTGGCTGCAGTCATCCAACCAGTGGTTACATTTTAGAACAGGGTATAGTGTTTAATAGTCTATATGTATGTAGGTTCCTTTGTGGCACACTAGAGACCAAATGCATGGACCGATTTAATGAATCAAACGTCAATCGATTCGTCCTAATTATATGAGTCCTACTAAAGATATCATAGTAATCAAAATTAAATATGGGGACAATTAGGCTCCATATTGTTACGAAGTAAAATAAAATAAATTGACGAAATATGTTGAGTGGGGTATCATTGCCTACATAATCCTCAACTCAGTTGTTTTTCGATCGCAAAGTAGTTACAATAAAAATCTCACGGCTGTTGACATATGTGCTTGCAAAAGTAAAGCATCTATTAAAAAACAACTATTAGGGCTGTTGGTTGATTGGTAATAAACAAACAAAAATGAAACACACACATATATACACACTAACACACGTACACACACACACACACACACACACACACACACTCACACACACCCACCCACACACACACACACACACATATACAATGGCACGCGCGCATTAGCCTCCTCAAGGCAATGGCGAAACTTTTCGAAAAAACCATACTGACCAGACTAAGAGAGCACCTCCTATCACCATCCGATCCTATTATCATTGACCACCAATTCGGCTTCAGAGCCAAACACTCCTGCCCCCAACAGATCCATCGCATAGTGGAGCACGCCCTAAGCGGCTTCCAACTTAATAAATATAAAACTATTGCAGTCTTCTTCGACGTCGCCAAAGCCTTCGACAAGGTTTGGCACGACGGATTAATCTTTAAATTATATCAATTAGAGTTACCTGACCGCCTAGTTAGGTTAGTAGCCTCTTTTCTATCAAACCGCACCTTCCGCTATAGATACGAAGGTTCACTATCAACGCCCCGCCCACTACGAGCCGGTGTACCGCAGGGGTCCGCTCTCTCCCCCCTGCTATACACAGCGTACACCAATGACATCCCTCAGACCAAGGGTGTCGAGCTCGCTCTCTTCGCGGACGACACGGCCCTCTACTCTAGGGGAGCCAGTACCAATCAAATCATAGCCAAGCTCCAACCGGCAATCACAACACTTGGGAATTGGTTCCGCGATTGGAGAATCGACGTAAATCCGGACAAAAGTTCGGCCATTTGCTTCGATCCCAAGCGCCGCACCAAAACCATACAACACGGTGCGCGGTCTCTGCGAATGCAAGGCATAGCAATACCGTGGCACCGCACAGTCAAATACCTAGGGATCACACTAGACAAAAAACTCACCTTCCGTGCACACACCACACGCGTAGTCGCGAACGCGCGCTTTTATATGAGCCGCCTCCACCCGATGCTCGGTAAATACAGCAAAATGTCACTTCGTAACAAGCGAACGCTTTACAAAGTTTGCATACGCCCGGTCCTCACTTACGCGTCACCAGTGTTCGCACACGCGGACGAAGCGATTTTGAACAAACTTCAAGTGCTTCAAAATCGCTTCTGCCGCATAGCCACAGGGGCCCCGTGGTACGTCCGCAACGCGGACCTCCACAGGGACCTTCAACTAGACACAATTCAAAC